GCGCGACTGGGGGGCGAGGACCTGCTCCGGGCGAGTCGGCGGCGGGCAGGTGGGGCGTGCGGAGGGGGCGGGGCGGCCGGGCCCAGCGCAGCCCGCGAGCTGCCCTCGCGGCCGCCGCGGTGCTGCCGGACGTTGGGGAGCAACCGCGAAGCGGCGGAGATTCGAACCTGCGCACAAATGTGCGCGCGCGTACTCGCGCCTGCCAGGCGGAGCCGCTGGTTGGTGGAGGCTCGCGGGGCGCGCTCCCGAACGCCCCCGCGGCCGGAAGTGCGCGCCCCGGGGGAGGCGGGAAGGCGGCCGCGGCTTTATTAAAGGCCCAGCGGCGGTGTCCGCGGAGGGCGTGACCTTGGTTCGTCTTAGGTGGGGCGTGGTTCTGCAAATCCCGAACTCGGTAAAGCGGGGTAGGTTCAAGACCTTTAAGACGTATTTGTTGGTATTCCCTTCCTGGAGTCATGGCTTCGGGGACTCCTCCAGGAGGTTAAAATCACCTCCAGGAGGTACAGACTTTTAGCAAACTTGTGTTAGGAGGCTGGCGCCACGTTAAGTGATTTTTGGAGGCGGACGCCGCTTGACAGCGGTCGGGCGGAGGGAAGTGGCCCAAGCCAACGCGCAAAAACAAAGCAGAACAAAACCCAACGAAGTGTGTATTTTTCAGTGGCTGTCCTGGAAAGTGAAGTAAGGCACCACATTCTTCGAAGCTGTTCTGATTAAAAATTCATTGATGAAGTTGTTGAGGAGATGTGCCGCTCACCTAAAATAGCTCACCCTAGAGCCCAAGCCTGGAGCACAGCTCTTTGCTTTTCCGACCGAAGCCTAAAATTATTTGGCTCTTAAAATGATGTGGGTAGCGCACAGTTCCCTTGTTACTCCGCGCGATGATCGGAAGTGAGATTCCAAGACCTTCCTGGCAGCAGAAGTTGTAACCAAGCAAAGTGAGGGAGCTGAGAGCAGCGCGTTTACTATGGCTTGTATTTTAGTGGTTAAGAAAGAGTAAAACAATGCGAGGAAGAAAACCGTGCATAAGTGTTTTGAGGGGAGAAGCTACATGATCTTTTAGAGAAAGTGCAAGGAAGATAATTGTACTCTAACTGGTAAGTGACGAGGGATCATAAGACCTGAGGGCCAAACACAAGCTAGCATAGGTCACACACATCTCCCTCCTCCCCCACCCAGGTGGGATAAGTATGACATTCCTCAGGCACTCCTGGCTGCCCAAGTACAAAGGAAAGGACAGAAAGCAAACGGTTAACTGAGAGCGTCTCCAGCAGTTTACAAATATCTTAGTAAATTGCAAGAAAAAGGTAATCTTAGCAATAGCCTAATCTCCAGAAACTGTCGTTTCCGGAGCCCCAACATCACCCTGCCCTCCATGGTGATGTAGGGAAACAAAGACGAGAAGGAAATGGTAAATAAAATGGAATTTCCTTATAACCTGTAGCCCATTGACAAATACTTGAAGCAGGCAGAGTTTTCTCCAGGAACTCTTAACGTGTTAATGTTAATGATTTGCTAGAGGCGAAAACAACCTTAGCTTGACAATAGTTAGGCCTCCAGTAATCTGTGAGTGTTTAGCATATGGAAATCTCTTGAAGAAACTTCTGTCTTGACTTTACCTCCCCAGCTCCATAGCATATAACTCTTCACAACCCCAGTGCAGCTCTTTCTGCCCATGGGTCCTGTCCCCGTGCTTTAATAAAATCATCTTTTTGCACCAAAGACCTCTCTAAGAATTTTTTCTTGGCTATCAGCTCCCAACCTCACCATTTCCCTAAAGCCCCATCAGAAAGTACTTATCCTATATATTATTTAGCCTGTGTCCCTAAGCCTCAAGGTTGTGACAAGATAAGCAACGACTCGCTTTTTTTTGTTTGTTTGTTTAATGTGTATTTATTTTTGGCAGAGAGAGAAGGGGACAGCAGATCGGAAGCAGAATCCCTGCTGACAGCAGAGAACCTGATGCAGGGCTCAAACCCACAGACTGAGATCATGACCTGAGCTGAAGTCGGATGCTTAACCTACTGAGCCGCCTAGGTGCCCTGGCAACTACTTAGTTAATACGTACAGAAATGTTAACAAGTTAGGGTGTTAAACAATAGCTTTTCAGTGTGATCTTTCCATTCCTTCTTTGAAATTGATAACCTATCTGTCTCAAAGATCAGATCACACCTATCTGATACGAAGGAGCTTAATTTTATTGAAAAGGTTTTGACGGTGTCCTGCCCACAAAAGTGCAGTTTAGCTAATACAGGTTCTTTCCTTCGTGGTCCTCACCACAGGCTCTGTGTTTTTCTAAATTGTGGAATAGATCATATATACAAAAGGTGGCGTAAAACACATGCAGTTAAAAGAATGATAATAAGCTGTCCAGCACCCAGTTTCATGTATAGAATATTGCTTGCACCAGAACATGTCAAGGTCCCTACATGCCTGTCCCGCTGACACCTTTCTCCCTTTCCTCCCTCTACGCCAGGTAATTGCTGTTTTGAATTTTGAATTGACCATTTCTTTGCTTTACTTTGTAATTTTTCCCATCTGTGTTTGTGTTCTTAAATAACATTTTTAATTTTTGCTGGCTTTTTAACACTTAAGTGAGCCATAATTGACATAAAATAAAATGCATATATTTCAAATGTTTGCTGAGTTTTTGTGTGAAACCATAGCCACAGTTAAGATAATGCACATGTCCACCACCCCCAAAAGTTTCCATTGACCCTTTCGTAATTCCTCTCTCCTCCCCGGGGGAATGTAACCACTACTTTACTTTCTGTCATTGTAGATTAATTTGCATTTTTCTAGAGTTTTACATAAATGGAATCATATGGTATGTACTGTTTTTGTTTGGCTTCCTTCGGCACAATTATTCTGAGATTCATTCATGTTATCAGATATTCATTCCCTTATTTTTTTTTTTTTACTCAGTACTTTTCCATTATGTGGCTATAGCACAGTTTGTGTCTCCATTCACCTGGTGATGCATGTGGTTGCTACCAGTTTGGGGCTATGCAGATAAAGCTGCTGAGAACATGTGTGTATTAGGCTTCGTACGCACATAGGCATTCTCTTGAAAAGAGTATATGAGAGTTCCAGTTCCTACCCATGCCCTCCAACAATTAGTATGGTCAGACTTCAATTTTAGTCTTTCTAAATAGGTATCTCGTGTATGTATCTCGTTGTAGTTTTAATTTACATTTCCCTAATGACCAATGATGTTGAGCGTCTTTTAAGTGGTTATTTGCTATCTGTATCTCTTCTTTGTAAAATATTCAGATCTTTTGCCCACTTAAAATATGGAGTTGTTTGCTTTCCTGTTTTCCTTATTTTATATGTTTATGCATGTAATTGTATTTCATTCATTTATATTGAGTATGGTATTCCATCAGGTGAATCCACTCTCCCCTCCCCCCACCCCAGACAGACCGCATGCTCAAGTTGGGGAGGGGCGGAGGGAGGGAGAGAGAGAATTTTAAGCCGGGTCTACATCCAGTGTGGAGCCCAATGTGGGGGGCTCTATCTCACAAACTGAGATCATGACCTGAGCCAAAATCAAGAGTCGGGCACTGAACCAGACTGATGAGCCACCCAGGCACCATGGATGAATCCACTCTATTGATAAACATTTTGAGTGTTTTTATCTTTTGCAGTTAGAAATAGTGTGCTGTGAACATACTTGTTCATGATTTTTTTTTAATTGAAGTATAATTGACATACCATATCCTGTTTTCAGGTGTATATCCTAGCGATTCGATCGTTTTATATATTATGAAATGATCCCCGTGGTAATTCTGGTTACTGTCACCATACAAAGTAATTACAAAATTATTGGCTGTATTCCCTGTGCTGTACCCTATATTCCCTGATTTCTTTTTTGACCTATGGATTATTTGTGTTAACTTTCCAAGTCTCAGAGGTTTTCCAAGATATCTTTTTCTTATTGGTTTCTAGTTTTAATTCCTTTCCCATTTAATACATTATCTGTGTGTTTTTAATACGTTTAAATTTGTTGAGATATATTTTAGGACACAACATATAAATTATCATGGTGCATGTACATGTGCTCTTGAAAAAGAACATATATCGTGGAGGCATTGGCCATAGTGCTCTATAAATGTCCCTTAGGTTAAGGTGTTTGATAGTGTTTCTCAGATATTATATGTCTGAACAGATTTGGGTTTTTTTTGTTTGTTTTGGGGGTGCTTTTTGATCTCAATGTTCTATTAATTGCTAAGAAATAGGTATTAAAATACCCAACTATCACAGTAGATTTTTATGTTTCTCCCTTTAGTTCTATCAGTTTTTGTCTATATATTTTGAAGCCCTGTTATTAGGCACACACATACTATGATTGTTTTGTCTCCGATGCATTAACCCTTTGTTCTTAATGAAATATCCCTATCTCTGGTAATGCTCTTCATGTTGAAGTCATCTTACTATGATTTTATAGCCATTGCAGCCCTCTTATGCGTACTATTTGCATAGTACATCTTTTCGTTCCATCCATTTACTTTCAGTTTATCTGCATCTTATCTCTTGGAGACAACGTATACAGTTAGATCTTGCTTTTCTGACATTCTGACAGTTTCTGTATTTTA